TATATTCTTTTACTAAGCTCTTAGTAGAGGTTCTTGATTAAAACATTTATTCAACATAGTACATGTAGTTTCAGTTAGGTTATTACACATAAGGATGAGCCTCTGGTCTGGTGAAAGGTCAGAAGTGCAACGGGTGAGATGAGAGAGCATGTAAGGTCAACACATACACACACACACACATTAGTAGACTCATTTATAGGTGAGAAGTTGGTCATGTTTGTCTCTGGAAAGAGGAACAGCGTCTAGCAGGATGTGGGGCTCGTGTTCCAGACGAGATAGAAGACAACGTTCTTTTAAACTGTGTTAAAAGTCATTGTGGTTTTGATTTGACGTATGTGACGTATGAAGGGGCGTCGTTAATTCAAACCCTGATGCTATAAAAATCTGTGCATGCTTTGATTAAGTCGAAGATTAATTCCTGTCTGCATACAGAATGGTCTTCCCACACGTGTATTCATTAAAATCAATTGTTTGACCAAGATCTTCTGGACCTGGTTGTTTGTACTCTCCTTCCTCAATTATGTGAACCTTAACAACACCAATCACAACAGTGAAGTTGGGACCAAACTATGACCCAAACATTTATAAATAACACAAACAATTTTTAAAGAAGACAGTAAAAGATAAGATAAGATAACCTTTATTAGTCCCACACGTGGGAAATTTGTTTTGTCACAGCAGGAAGTGGACAGTGCAGAAAGTTATGAGGCAAAAATTAGAATACAATAAGAATAAATACAGTACACAACTGTACAGAATAGAATAAAATAAAATACTATATACAGTAGAAAAAGTCTGATTACAAAAAGCATTTCTTTAAAACAACACAAAATTAATGATTAAAATTTTCTTAAAAGTGTTATTAGTGTGTGAGAAGTATGTGGACACCCAGCTGGTTATTTATGTGACCAGCACACCATGAGCTGTTCTGTCACATTGTGAGAGCCAACCAACCAGCAACCAGGATTCAACACACGAATGGCCTGACGACAAAAACTCCTCTTGAGCCTCTCTGTTCTTGTTCGGACGGTGTGGAACCTTCTGCCTGATTTCAGAAGCTGGAACAGTTCGTTGTTGGGATGGGACGGGTCCTTTAAAATCTGAGTTGCTGTAGTCCAGCATCTCCTGACATAAATGTCCTGTAGGGACGGGAGAGCAGCCCTGCGGCAGCGTTCTGCCACACGGATCACTCTCTGAAGAGCTTTTTTATCCTTGACACAGCTGTTTCCATACCAGGATGTGATGTTCTGTGTGAGGATGCTCTCCACAGCGCCTGTATAGAAAGTCCTGAGGATCTCTGGAGAGACCCTGAACTTCCTCAGTTGTCGTAGGTGGTACAGGCGCTGCCTAGCCTTTTTGGACTGGACCTGATTGTCTGATTTATGAACAGTCTGCTGGGCACTATTGTGTTAAACGCTGAACTGTAATCAACAAACAGCATTCGCACATAGTTACCCTGTTTCTTGTCCACGTGGCTGAGGGTGGTGTGCAGGAGGTGGGCGATGGCGTCCTTTGTGGATCTGTTGGGTC